TTTTAAGATGATCTGTCACGAAACTATCAGTCTTGCTATTTTATATCCTGTAAATGGTTTTCAAATGCAAATATAACTTCCTTGTGTATTCACATCTTAAAAAACATGCACATTTATGCTTTTTTTGGTGCACAAATGTACCTTTTCAGACCCTTTACAATACTGCAGTAGTGTTGGGTTCACAAAAATGGTTACATAGCATTGTGCGGTAATTTTCATGTCCGCAAAGGGATAGTTTGACATTTTTTGGAAACTTTTGTGCAAATTTGCTCTGCACAGAGTTCACTAATTTGCCTTCCAACACCTCTAAAGCTCTCTGTGTTATATAAATCACGTAACATGTGACGACTTTGTGGTCATACAGTGACAGTGTGGGATGCACTGGATCAGCCTCTTGCGATTCTCTTGCAACAAATCTTTCCTGAGCGTCTTTAGGCCGATTCTGTTCCGAGAGCTGTGTGAAAATGGTGGGAACATTCTTGCAATTAGCATAATTTGAAGAGGCAGATGCAAAAAAAAAAAAAAAGTAATTTCAAAATAAGTGCTCTCAATGAGAAACTTGAGAGCAAAATTAGATGGCAAAATGATGTGAGACAGCCGGCAGGCAGACCCCAGATCTGAAATTATCCTCTCCAAGGAGACTGTAGTTGGAAAAGAATGGCAACTCTGAATCGTGAGATGAGCTTTACGGTAAATACCATTATAATAAGAGTACGTTTCAGTCAAAACTGCTTTTTTTTTTTTCATGTGTTTGTAGGTGGCTAGCAGCCGGGCAGGAAAAGCCTTTATAGCCTGCCCTGACAGTGATGAAACAGAAACCTCCAAATCAGTGGAAATGTTGAACAAGCAGATGATTGACTGGGCTATGGCAGGATTTCAGCCCACTGGACCCAAAGGCTTGGAGCCACCAGAGGGTGAGAAGAGACAGAAGTCATTATGAAGCTTTAATTTTCGACCCTGTAGCTGCTGGATGGGTTCAAACCAATCAGTTAACCTTTGAATTTGTCTAATTTAGTTTAATATTTTCTGTGATATTAACTGTCTGATATGCCGTGCACCCCCCAGAGGAGCGTAACCCCTACAAAGAGGTCTACCCTGAGATGTGGGTGGAGCCGGAAGCAGCAGCCTACACGCCTCCTCCAGCCAAAAAGCCTCGCAAAAGCACAGCAGAGAAACCCAAGGTCAAGGACATCATTGATGAGAGGACACGAGGTGAGGTGCCTCGTTTATTAGGTTATATAGGAGTCGTGAACTCTTCATTCTGTCCCTTGGGAAGGTCGCTGAACAGTCAGTGTAAGTGGTCTGGGTAGGATTGTACTGACATGAGGTCCATTACTGAGTGATGTGAGCAGACAGAACGGCTCAGGTTGTTCCAAAGACAATGAACAGATGTTTGCTTTTACTCCCAAGTGGATTGCTGGGTATTCCCCTCAACCCCCAAGAAAAGACATCATCTCTCCTGCGTGAGGTGTTACAGGATTTTAAACCATTTTAAAACAAACCAAATAAAAATACCTGTAATTATAGCAGTAGACAAACACTTGTCAATTTAATTTTAAGTTATTTGCTTGTTTTATTTCATTTACTGATCCAAACTGGATACAGAAATGTTCTGTTATAATAGAATCACATTGAATTGGGTGTACCACAGGGTTCTATTTTGGGGTTCTTGTGTTTCCGAATTTGCATAATTAGCCTGATGTTTGCAAATTGGCACCTAATTTTATTTGCTGGTTAAATTTTTATATCTTTTAGTATCATTGAAAGAAACATTCAAATTCTCTCTGTTGCAGAAATTCCTGCAAAATTTGAAATTTTACTTTGTATAGAGGTGTAGCTTTTTATTGGACTCAGCAATCAACATTTTAGTGTCTTCCACTGCTGACTGTGTAGTTTACACACAGTTTATTCATTAACTTGAAAAGTATTTTAACATCACATCTAGCATCTGTTACAGAAGATGCAATGCTCACTTCTGAATTCCTTACAGGTTACTGCAATTTGGTGGTTGTCTCCAAATTCAAATATGAATTCAAAAAGCCTTTATTAATCCCATAGTGGGTCAATTTGCATTGTTACATCAGCAAAGGGTGCAAACTTTTAAGAATTATGAGTGGAAAAATAAACCAAAAATAGACAAAAAGTAAGTTCTACTTCAGATGATCCAAATTCTCTGGATGTAAACGACAATTTATATGGAGAAATCTTATAGAGAAGTGTTATTATTGCACAGATTTGTCACAGTATAATTTCCTTGTGCCTTTGCATTAAAAAAGCTTTCACATTAATGCATTTATTCATGCACAAAGGCAATTTTTCACACCATTTACAATAACAGTAGTTTGGGGTTCACACAAATGGTTGTATGGTGATCATATATATAGATCCTGCATGTTGTGTCTGAGATAATCTGTTATAGAACTATGAATCTTACTATGTTTTAACCTGAAAATGGTTCTCAAATTCCACCATAACTACATTGTGCTTACAACAGGCTGCAACAACGTAGAACAAGAACTTTTTGAGGTTGTCTTAAAAGAAAAAAGGGTTTCATTTTCAAAAATAACGAACAAAAACATTCATATTTATGCATTTATTCATGCACAAATGCACATTTTCAGGAGTGTTAGTTTTAGCTTCACACAAATGGTTGCCAGATGATTATTTGTAGCTCCTGCATGTTGTTTCTGAGATGACCTGTTGTAAAACCGTGACTCTTAGAATGCTTTTCACCTGTTCAAACTTTGCTGATTCTGTATTTTCATGAATATGAGAGAAAAAAAGATGCAGTAAAAAATCTAAAAATGAGGCATATTTTGAACTGTTGAACTCAGTACTAGTAGTTGTCAATGCATTTTCTTATAACCAACATTTCCGTCTTTTTCAGAGCGCCTTGTTTATGACGTGAGACAAAAGTGCCGCAGCATAGAAGGTAAGCGATGCGTCCTCGGTGTGTTTTCGCTCGCAGCAGCTCTGAGGGGCTTCTCAGGAGGCAGACGTACACCTCACACTTCCCCCCTGTTGTTGACAAGCACAAATGTATGCAACTGTGTTCGTAAAATGATGAAAGAGTACAGAAGACGAAATAACATTTCCGTGATTTTTTTAAATGTATTTTTTATTTTTTTTTACTGCCTCACTGGCTCCCCTGTGTGTTCTCTCCAAACACACCGGTTCGGCTAATTGGATGTAGACCTGCGTTACAGCTGTTCAAATAATTCCAGTCAAGTGTGAGTTTGGAGCGTTCGCAACTCTCTGACCTCAGCCTGTTAAACACTGACACATGCTCTTCTTCCTGCAGACATCTGTATCTCCTGTGGAAGCCTGAACGTTAGCCTTGAGCACCCTCTGTTTGCCGGGGGAATGTGCCAGAGCTGTAAGGTAAGCTCACGATGAGGGTCATTAAAAAGTCTGGGACTCGACTCCAACTAGTAAAAAAAAAAAAAAAAAAAAAATCACAGCTCATTTCCAAGCTAATAAAAAAAAAAAAACTGAGAGCGTTTCAGGCAACACCTGATGCGACCCCATAAAATGTTGGATTCTTCACATGTCTTGCTGCTTACTTTGGACTTTTTTTTTTTACCATCCTTTTTTGGCAGAACTGCTTCCTAGAATGTGCGTATCAGTATGACGACGACGGCTACCAGTCGTACTGCACGATCTGCTGCGGCGGACGAGAGGTGCTCATGTGCGGAAACAACAACTGTTGTCGGTGAGGTTAAACCGGGTTCTACTGGGTTCTGCTGGGGGTGTGTTATGGTTGTGTGCACATGTTGTGACTTCAGTATTTCATTTGGCAACCCGTTCTCTTTTTTGATACACGATGTAGTCTTCTGTCAAAGTCGGTATTAAAATAAAGGGAATGATGTGCCATGTAACTATTGGTTACCATCAAAAGCAAAGACAGTTAGAGAAAAAAAGGGGCAGTTACTGTTATTTAGTTAGCCAGCAAAGCTAACTGATGTTTAATAAAGATACCTGGACTGAACTAACATTGGTATCTAACCTGATTTGGTAGCTAAACAAAAACACGACTAAGGTTTCCTCTGTCAAGACAGGCCAAGCTCCTGATTTGTCACAGCTCTGCTTCATTATTGCCTCACTGAATTCCATTTGTGGGTTGTGCAGGGAATATGTTGGATTCTCCCTAATAATAATAATAATAATAATAATAATAATGAAGCGGCCCATGTTCCAGGCTGCAGCAGTAAATTTAAACCGACATGAAAATGTAAAAATTCTGTGCCTACGTTAAACGTATTAGACTCTTTTTTTTCCCATTATTTTATGACCGTGTCAGGAGGTAATCGGGAAAGCACCCAGATGCAGACACACCAGGCAGGCAGGCAGGCTGTGGCAAAACTTACTTATACAAGGTAGACAAGTGAATAAGCAAAAGGCAGCTGGTGGTCAAGGAAAAATAAGTCTGTAACAGAAGAAGGAAATCCAAAGGTACAGAATCCCCCCCAAAGAAACAAGGCGCCAGGGGCTAAAACAGACAGGTAATCAATGAGACAACACTGGGCACAAGAACCAAACGCACAAACAAGACTTGGGTGAGGAACACAGGGAGAGTCAGGCAGGTGAACATGAGGGCAGCAAGCAGGATGAACAGACCAATAACCCAGGACTATATAATAATAATAATACATTTTATTTATAGAGCGCTTTTCACAAACTCAAAGACGCTTTACATGTTAAAATAAAAAACAAAACAAATAGAAAAAAGAAAAAAAAGCAAATACAAGTATACAGAATAAGTCAAACTAAAGGAAACAGAACAAACAGTTGGAAAAGCAAAAGAAAATGAATAAAAATAAATACATACATACATAGTTAATGTTGTGTAGTGCATGTGATGTGTGTAGATTAGTGAGGTGACAGGTTGAATCAGTGCGGAACAAGTGTGTTTTTAATTTGGACTTGAAAGTGGTCAACGGTGTCGCGAATGTCTTGTGGGAGTGATGTGTGCACGAAGATCTGATTGGGGAGGGACGACACTGAAACTGAGGGCAATCAAAAAAGGAGGGAAAACCAACAAAGGGAAGCAACACGAGCAACATGCAAGGAAATAGGACATCACAATAAAACAGGGAATTAAAAAAAAGACCACGACAGATAAATATGTATACATCATTAACTCAGACCATCAGCACTTCCTCTACACAATCCAGATTTATTCATTTAATTTGTCGTTTACACATTCCTTCCTTCCTTTTCTGCCGTACAATCATAAAAGTGCAACATCATTAAAGTCAGGAGCAGAACTGACAGGCCGAGCACATCTGGCACCTACACCGGCTAATAAAATGATGCAGTTGGATGGAATTACCTGAAGCTTATTACCACGGCTCACATGGTACATTTAGTATAACGTGCATTTCCTGAGCATTAAATCCTAAATACGTACAGCAGAAGCAAACTCTGCTGCTACGGGTTTCTTTTTAATAGAAATTTCCAGTTTTGCTTGTTCATTTATTTATTTATTTTTTTCAACTTTTTCAAATCCTGACCCGTAACAGAGGGACTTTTACTGTGAAAACTGCGTTTCATTCATGGCAGATAAAACATTGTTTTGGTGGGTTAAAGGCTGACGTGACTTTACTGGTTGAGTTTGTGCTGTGGAGATGGAGCCTATATTGCATTCCTGAAACCACAAAGTGAACTTGGAGGAAGTGCAGAGTTTACATTAACTGAAGAACAAAGAGGAAATTAGGAATCAAGGTCTGTTTCTAATATGCTCCAACTAAAGGCCTGGTTCTCTCTGGCACTTGGAGGATTAAAGGTTTTTGTAAATTTTTAAAGACTGTATTGGCTCGTGGTGGCAAGTAGACTTCTCTACGGGATATACACTCACAAAAACATGAAATAGGGAATAAAACGATAAATCTACAGAGCATCTGTTCCCTGAGTTATGAGTCAAAGGGATT